GGTTTTGAGCTGCTAACCTTTATCTATGGGTGTTTATTTATTTATTACCAGGGGTTATAAATAAGATCAATATAAAAAGATGATTAAACTTTACCTCCCTATAAAGGATGAAAACTGGTTTTACTAGTGATATATCATTCAATTTGATTAATCTTACAACAGACTTAACTTCATAGTTTGTAAAAATAACACTTAACCTGTGCAGATCTAATGTCTGTCATGTACTGCTCTTAATACAAATTGAAACTACCTTCTTAACTTTATAAACGACTAATCATAATCATGGTTGTCAAATTAATCAGTCAGTCTTAGTGGTGTGACTAAGACTGACTAAGACTAATTTAGTCATGACTAATCTTGTCATTAATCAGTCATAGCCTTGACTAAGACTGAAATAAATTAGTCTTAGTTAGTTTTAGTCTGACTATTTAGTCTGATTATTAGTCAGTCATGGAAATAGATTTAATATTCTTTAATAATACATAATAAGCATAATAATAGATTTTAAGTATAATAATAATAGAATAGAATAGGAAAAAAGAATTATTAGTAATAATAGTAGCCAGTTAACTGTAATTAATACTCAGTTTTGATTAAGATATAAAACATAATATTTATGTAGAAAAGCGTTAGTCATTTTAGTCAGTTTTAGTCAGTTACTAGACTGACTACTGACTAATTTAACAACCATGTATGTACCGAAATATTACAAATAAAGAGTGTAAAAGAATATTTTTAAGCCTTTCGGAATGGCATACTTCACAACAACTAAAAAAATTTCTGGTACTTATAAATCCTGTAGTAAGGCTTCAAAGCGAGTACCATACTAATATTAATCAAGCCTTATTATCAAATATGTTTATTTCATCTATAATAAACTAGAGGTTTTATTCGAGGAATTTGAAAATCAAGCTATTGAAGAGCTTGAATTAGTAAGTTTTATCCGTTAGAATGATAATAATTGACTTGATACTAATTATTAATAGAGGGACTGGTGTGAAGCCTTTATTAATGATATAAAGGCTGGAATTGAGAAATTAAAAAATACTATCCACGAAAACTTGCACAACAACAGTTAAAAAAATTCCAGCCGTATATTTTTTCCGTAGTTCTTGACCCTCGATTTAAAATAACCCGTTTGGAAAAGGGGGGCATTTATACTTTGAAGATTCTACTGAACAACACGTTGGAAGGCTTATAAAATAATGATTCTCTAAGTAAGTTATTATTTACTATTATGATAGTAATACTAGTGCTAATTTTATTAGTGTACAAGAAGAACTTGATATTATTTTACGGTGGAGAATACCTACGACGCTTCAGACGACGATGATGAATTTTATACACAATCTACTAAAGAAATGAAATATATTACGTATTTACAAGAACCGATGGCTGGAAGAAGGTAATTTATATACTTTTACTATTATTATTATTAACCGTTTTATTATAATACTAATCATTATTAATAAGTTGATCCTTTAGAGTACTGGAAGCTAAACGCCTCAAAATATCCAGTATTAAGCCTTATGGCTCGCAGATTTCTAGCAATTCCAGCGACCTCAGCACCTGTTGAACGGACCTTTTCTATTAGTAGTAATATTATTACTATAAGCCGAAATAGGTTAGATCCAGATACTGTAAAACGAATGGTTTTATTAAAGAGTTGGAAAATAAAAGAGCAAGAGGAGTTAGAGGAGAAATATCATGATTATGAAGTAGCGGAAGAAGATTAAAAAGGCTGTATTTATTTTCCTATCTTTTTTTTCTTTTCTTTTCTTTATTATATTATTATACTTATAATCCATTATTATACTTATAATCCATTATTATACTTATAATCCATTATTATACTTATAAATACTTATAATCCATTATTAAAGAGAATATTGAACCTTTTTGCGTTACTGACTAATGGTCAGACTAAGACTAACTAAGACTAATTTTAGTCAGTCTTAGTCAAGGCTGTGACTGATTAATGCCAAGATTAGTCACGACTAAATTAGTCTTAGTCAGTCTTAGTCACACCACTTGCTAAGACTGACTGATTAATTTAACAACCCTGTCGTCACATAAGGCTTTTAAATTCAGAGGGTTCCTTAATCTAATATTATGGTAAGTTCTCCTATAAACTATTATTTAGAGATAACTAGGTTGTTATCATCCGTCCTCCTTTCATAAAATATCGATCTCATAGCTTAACAGCTTATTATCCCTTTCTTATTAAACCCTTTTAGTAGTTGTTTAAACGTTATAAATTAACTAAAGTATTTTAAAGTTAAGGAAGGGTATGACGCTCCTTCACGTTTAACCGTTGTTTTTCGTTTAAAATGTTTTGAAGGATTATTTGGCTATTTCTATGTAGGTACGTTATAGAATGAATGTATTTATCTCTTAATAAAAGCGCAGTCACCACACGATTAGGTTTTTTTAACCACTTTACACTGTAAATTAAGACGTTTATAATAAAAATCACAGACAAGTATAACGGTATTAAAGGCCTAATAAATAAAACGGTATCATAATAATAATTAGTAAAGGATAGTTTTGCTTTTTCTTTTTACTTTTTCTTTATCTTGTTAACAGGTACAATCGTAACTATTGAAAGGGTGGAAGTTGAAAACATTTTATAGGAAAAGAATTATATAAAGGGAGAACTATATAACGATTTGATGAACTATTTTCATTAACTAGGCCAAGCTATTGTATCCTTATAATGGCTACAATGTAAAACTATTAGTAAATACCACATTAATGTTAGGTATTTCTTAAAATCACTTTAAGGGGTAAATAAGTAAGTAGAGTAAGTGCATATAATCAATTGTTTACCTTTCTTAATATAATGTTAACAGGAATATATAAGTATATTAAGTACCGTTATAAGTCACTTGTTAAATCAATAATATACATAATTACTGTCGTACCTACAATGATATCTGGAATCTTTTTATTCCTTATGCAGGCATTTACTTTTGTTAAATTCTAGCCTCTGAGAGCACTAAAGAGGCCCTGTATTTACAGGGCCTGCCAGTAAGGAGAACACTGGGTACCCTGCACCTCCTGTGTACCCTGCAAGCCACAACCACCAGACACCTGTGGTGCCGAACCTTCTGGAGGTGCAGAAGGTTCCAGGGGCCCCAGGGGTCCCTGGGACCCCTACAGAGTCACAGAAGCCTCTGGAATACAGTGGTGTGCCCCCTGAAGATTAGTGGGGTAATAGAAGGCCGCGGAAGCCTGTAAGCTTCCACAACCTTCCACAGCCACGTAAGTGATTACATGGCTAGTGGAGAATCTCCACCATACTATTCTATTATTGTATTAGTAGTAGAAGGCTCTGGAATCCTATTCCAGAGCCCACACAGCCTATAACAAGCCCTCTCCCCTCCTGTAATTAGTCTTTCTTGAAGCAAGCAATTTACTTCCTTCAGTTGGGTACTACTCACTGAGGCAAGCAATTCACAAGCAATACAGTTGTTTATCACAGTGCAGAGTTCACTGAAACCTGTTGTTTTACAGCACATAGTCTGCTGTAACTTGTCTTTTAGGCTCTGTAGTACAGGCCTTTATTGCTTCCTTTAGTACCTTAGTAAGCTCTGCTGTCGTACCCTACAGCGCTCCTCCGGAGCACTGTACTTACAATTCTTTCCCTGACCGGAGCACTGTACTACAGGCTCCCACAGGCTCTCAGGCGCTGTAATACAGGCCTGTAGAGAGCTACAAAGCAACACAAGGGAACTGAGAATAGTAAGGCTAATATCCTTACGCCTTCTTAATAAAGAAACTGGTAAAAAAGGTAATTAACAGCTACAGTATCTGTAACCGGTGAAAAACTAAATGATATAAGCCTTACAGACTTTTTAAACCCCTTTTAATACTAAAGTCACTATAAAGCTCCATATTGATAGATTTTGTCACAGGAATACCCGAATTAACAGATCTTATGATAAGTGTTAATTATAGCTTTATTTAGGTAGTAATTAACAGACTGATAAATAAATCTACTTTTTACTGTACTTAATATAAATAACAGCTAAATAACTCGCCTACCTTGTGAAACAAAATATTATAGCCCAGTATCTTCAATTAAATACTATCGTCTTAAATCGTAACAAACACTTCGTGTCCAAATTTTAACAAAGATTAATATAATAAATAAGGGTAAAAAGTAAACTTTCAAGAGCCTTTTACCCTTAAACTAATAACTAAACGGAATAATTAAATATTTAAAACGTACCTTTAGTTATTTATTAACTTCAATAAAATAATTAACTTAAGTTACTACTTATAACTCAAATAACTTATAACATTACTGTTATTAAGTTAATTAAAATATCTTTATTTTTCGCACTTTTAGTAGGGAACTGGAACTTCACCAAGGAATACTAACAGACGCGCCCCAGGCGGCTATCCGCGCCGATAAACTCCAGGAACTGTATAAGTATTTAAAGACCGAACTTAAATTCACCCGCGAATAAATAAAGAATTATTACGATAATAAAAGAAGAGCCGAGGGATTAACTCTTAAAAAAAGGGACCCTGTTTATCTTTTTCCGCGAAATTTACATATTAAACAGCTAAGTAAGAAACTTGACTTTGAAAGATTTAGGCCGGTCCGCGTAAAAAAGAAGATTATTACCTTTAATTATAAATTAAACCTACTAACTTTTATAAAAATACGGACTAAGGTTTTCCACGTTTCCCTCTTTAAGTTAGTACCAAGGAACATATTACGAAAAAAAAGATCAAGATTAACACTGCTGAAAAGGATTTTAAATTTATAACTTCGCGGTAATAAACTTGATTATGTTATTAAATGGTTAAACTACAGCCCTGAGTTAAACTTTTAAAAGCCAGTTGACAATTTTAACTACTTAGAACTGCTTAAGAAATTCTATTGTAAAAAGACGCTAACCTTAAAGGACCACGGTGTAAAGGGCATAATAATAACACTATTAGCTATATAAGAAGGATCCCTCTCTTTTAAGGTAAAAAAAGAGAAGTGACCCGTGTAGGATTTAAACCCACGACCTCTTACTAAAGTTTTTCTATACAGCACACCTTAAGCCTGCCATATAAAAAACGCTAAATAAGCGCGCTAACCACTACGTTAACGGATTGTTTCATTTATTAAAAACTTACCTTATAACCAGAGCTTTTAAACTTACAGTAACCAGTTTACTGCCCTTAAAACGGATTTAATCACTGTTGATATATGGGAGCTATAACCGGGTTAACACTTATTTTAAGTAGAAGTAATTACCGGTAACAGTAAGCCTATTAGAAAGATACTTTAGCTAAAAACCTCGATAGCTTTCTCGGGAGGGAGTAAAAGCCTTTATTTTTTGGCTTTAGAAAAACAGAGGACCTTTACGTCGTAAGTAAAAGCCTTAAACACCTTATTATCTAAAACACCACGTTAGGTGTTTAGGTGTTGAGCTTTTACTTTATTCTGCCTTAGACACTTAAAGAGATCCTTTATTTCCTTTTAATTAACCTCTTCCTCTTTGTTAAGCTTCACCTTTCATCACTAGTATAAGTTTTACACATTATTATCTATCCTAAAGGTATCACACGCTATATTAGACTGGAGGTAAAAACCGTAACGGTCCGAATTATCAGTTACGGTATAGCTAAGGGTGGGAGTGTAAAAAGAATAGTAATTATAAAGACTTATAGTACGACTAAAAATAATAATACGATTAGCTAGATCCGCTTATTTTTTAGTACTATTACGCTTTTATTAAATATAGCTGAGAAAAATAGTGTTAAAAAGAGGAAAAACTTACCAGGGCACCTTTGTGGAAAAAGATTAATAAAAAGGGGGGATCGTGTGATAACCTGTAGGCCACCCTTATAGCCGGGACGGACCGACGTATCTTTACAGGCGCTACAGTATAAGTAACAGTATGTAAACTGTCTAAGTACCATAGATTTATACTAAAGAACGGCTCCGTAGGTAAAGCCAAAGGCCGGTTAAGAGAACCTAGCTTTAGGGAGATAATATCTCTGGATAATAAAGCTGTTGGGATTATAAAGCTAGTGTAAGTTATTGTTAAATTCTAGCCTCTGAGAGCGCTAAAGAGGCCCTGTATTTACAGGGCCTGCCAGTGAGGAAGGCGCTGGGTACCCTGCACCTGCAGCCACCATCCACTAGCCACAATGTGGCTTCGAACCTTCTGGAATCCAGAAGGCCTCAGGGCCTTCAGGGGGCCACAGAAGGCTCTGGAAGCCCACAGGCTTCCACAACCTTCTGAGGCCACATCAGTGATTACGAGGCCTGTGGAGAGCCTCCACCATACTATTCTATTATTGTATTAGTAGTAGAAAGCTCTGGAATTTCCATTCCAGAGCTCCCACAGCCTATAACTAGCCATCTCCTCTCTTGTAATTAGCTTTCCTCCGAAGCAAGCAATCTACTTCCTTCAGTTGAGTACTACTCACTGAAGCAAGCAATTCACAAGCAATACAGTTGTCATTACAGTGCAGAGTTCACTGAAACCTTCTGTTTTACAGCGCATAGTCCGCTGTAACTTGTCTTTTAGGCTCTGTAGTACAGGCCTTCGTTTGCTTCCTTCAGCACCTTAGTAAGCTCTGCTGTCGTACCTCACAGCGCTCCTCCGGAGCACTGTACTCGCATTTCTTCCCCTGACCGGAGCACTGTACTACAGGCTCCCACAGGCTCTCAGGCGCTGTAATACAGGCCTGTAGAGTGCTACAAAGCAACAGTTATATTATTATTAGTTAGTATAAATAGCTATTATTGTACCTACGATGGTGTAAGGAACCTTTCATTCCTCACGTAAGTAGTCGTTTATTAATTAAACTAACTTCGATTATATCTTACTATATTAACACTTAAAGCTTTACTTTACATATATAGTCATATACGACCACTAATAATCAGTAAACCTGTCAGAAAGAAAGGGGTTCAGGGGGCCCTTGGCTTCCGGTCAGCGAAGCTGACTGAATGCCTAGCACTGCCTGAACGCCAGTCAGCCTCAGCCATGGTGTTGACGAAGCTGAATCCTACGGAGTGATCTATAAAGATGGAGGTTCTGGCTGAAAGCCAGAACCTCAACAAGCAATACAATCAAGCAATTGCTACCCATCGTTTCCACCCATTCCACGGTGCAGTGTTTCTGACAAAACCCCCGTATGTAAAGACTTGCTTCTGCACCACTCCTCTCTACCAACCCAGCCAATCTAACGACCCTGCTGACCGCTCGTCGATAGGCACCGGTCGTAACAGATATATAATAGTAAACTGTTTTAATAAACAGTTATTAAATTCTAGCCTCTAAAAGTACTAGAAAGGCCCTGTATTACAGGGCCTGCCAGTAAGCAAAAGGGGTTTATATACCCTACAGCCCCACTTTAGTGGGGCTATAACAGGCTCTAGAAGCCTACAGGCTTCCAGAACCTTCCACAGCCCTCTGTAATCACATAAGCAATTACATGGCCTGTAAAGTGCCTCCACCGTACTATTTTCTTATTATATTAGTAGTAAAAGGCTTTAGAATGGAATTCAAAAGCCTTTATAACTTATAACAGGCCCTTTTCTGTCCTGTAGTTAGCTCTTTCTTAAGTAAGTAATTCACAAGCAATACAGTTATTATTACAGTGTAAAGTTCACTGAAACCTTCTATTTTACAGTGTATACTTTACTATAACTTATCTTTTAGGCGCTGTAGTACAAGCCTTTTTTACTTCCTTCAGCACTTTAGTAAGCTCTGCTGTCGTACCTTATAGCACTCCTTCGGAGTACTGTACTTACACTTCTTCCCCTAAAGGAAGCTTGTACTACAGGCTTCCATAAGCTCTTAGGCGCTGTATTGCAGGTCTGTAAGCCGCTGTAATAATAGTTAAACTTCCTGCTTATTAAAAATTTTAACGGCTGTAATAATAAGTCCTTTACCTTAGAAGTATTAGCTTTATAAAAGATAATACTCCTTTTTATATCTTGCATAAATATTAGATAATTTATTATTTAAATAAAAAGTGTTTAACCATAATATAAAGATATTATTTTAATGGGAGATGCCTTGAGCCTTGCCTCCACTCCAAGCCCAAATCGAACACCTCTTTATCATCCTCGAGATAACTATTAGAAAGAAAGGGGTTCAAGAGCCCTGGGCTTCCGGTCAGCGAAGCTAACTAGATGCCTGGCACCGCCTGAACGCCAGTCAGCCTCAGCCATTGTGTTGACGAAGCTGAATCCTACGGAGTGGTCTGTAAAGAAGGACGTTCTGGCTGAGAGCCAGAACCTCAAGAAGGAAGAACAAGCAATACAATCAAGCAATTGCAACCCACTTCTTTTCACCCATTCCAGGGTGCAGTGTTTCTAACAATAACCCGTTTTAAAGAGACCCCCTCTCCTCACTGGGGGGGCCCTACCTACGGCTTCCTCACGCGCGACCTCCTCGTCCAACGCATCAACAGTTACATTGCATGGCCAAGCTGCCCGGACCGGCCCCCGCCCCCATCACACCCACCGCCCTTCAAATGTGTGCCAAGCCCCTGTCGCGTGTTTTCGCCACGACTCCCATCTTTGCCAAAGACAATATCGCAGATTCAGGAGAATCTCTCCAATTTCGTCACTACCCTCTTAGGATTCTTCCTCTTCCACCTCGGCACTCGTGACGCCGCTGCCCCATATTCGCTAACCAAGGAGTCCCTGCCCTCAACTATCGCTGCGTCCGGGACACAAATCTCATACATCGCCCACTCCCAAAACAACAACACCGAAACCAAAGAGGCATCATCAGAAACTATCCTCTGAACGCCTTCGCACGCGCCACCTTCGGGGACCCCTCGCTACAACAGACCACGACGTCAAGATATCCAACACTTCCTTCCGTCGCTTCAAAGACCCAGAAGAAGCGCTACGAGCTGCGCTTCCGCTTCTTAGTGATCTCGCCTCGGAAGGAATTACCGTCGGTTCTCTCCCCAGCGCTTCACCCAGCGACGACTCGGACCTAGTCATGTCTCTTGAGATTGCTGAGCGGGGAGGCTGCGCCTAGGACGTGCTCAGAGGTGGAAAAGGGGTATTTGTTTTGATAGCGGCTGTCAGAATGGCTCAAGATGCGGCGTGTTGTAGTATAAGCTCCAAAATCTCCTGCCTCACCCTTTGCGGGATATCATAACGCCGTTCCTGCACAAGCCATAGCGGTGTCTGGTTCCACGAATCCTTCGCATGTATATCTGCCCCGTATCTGATGAGAAGCTTTGCAATGTCCACATGCCCTTCCAAGATGGCGTGGCGAAGTGGTGTCTCGCGCCATTTATCCTTAGTTTTCACGTCTGATCCTCTCTGGAGAAGAAGCTCCACCATTTGCTGATGTCCTGCAACAACCGCAAGGTCTAATGGCGACCGTAGATTATCTGGGTCTTCCGTTTCCAATTTGGCGCCGTTGTCGAGCATTTGGATTGCTTTCTGTACGTCACCATTACGGGCTGCCTTTATCAGCCCCTGGTCTGCATCGTTTGAGGGGCTGCTAGGACCTTCAAGAGTGTTAGGCTCTGGACACTCAAGTGCTTTTTTGCTCTGTGAAGTAGAGGAAGAAAATATACCTTGGATCGCACGTGAGGCACCAGCGCTGGCCTGCTCCTGCATCCTCCGTAGCACTTCGCACACTTTGTTGTAATCGGGGTCGTAAACAGTGAACTTCACGAGATCGGAGTGTGTTCGGGAGAGCGGAGCTGAATGGGTGGAGATCTTGCTCTGCGGTAAACAGCCTATGGCTGAAGAAACATTGACGAGAACCTTCCTAGGGCCGATCATTTTCCATTTCCCGTCTGAGTCCTATAGATCTGTCAGTGCGGACACTTTGACACGTTAACATGGATACTGACTCGAGCTGCCGTGGGTGACATCAGCGTCTCATAAAAGCAAAACATCTCCAAGGCCATCCTGCCTATCACATTGGGAAATCTTTCCTCCTGCCTTAACAAGACGTTGGAGTTTACCATGCTGAGCGATTCAACAATAGACCCATTCGGCTGATTAGTGACCATGGCAATGAGTGATTCGATGCCATCCATGCCGCGGTTGGGAACACCAAAGAAGAGTGCCCCGATGATTTGTGTGATCCGGTTGAACTGTGCCTCCGCCATTCGA